AGTTGCTGTAAGGATCAAATGAGTTAACATATAAAGTACTTTGTAAATGTTAAAGATATATATAAATACCAGCTATTATTATTTAAAAAAAAAAGGCAGCATGGCATAGTAGTAGGTAGAGAGCTGGTTTCAAAGCTGAGAAGATCTAGGTTCAAGTCTTACTTCTAACACATACTGATTGTGTGACCCTGGGTAAGTCATTTCAACATTCAGCGTTCTAGGCAAGTCTCTAAGACCATAAGTTGTAGAAATGGTGCCAACCTGCATTGATAGAAAGAGTTTCCTCATTTGGGAGTTCCGTATCCCAATAAAATCTCAGGTCTACTCACTATCACTATCCCTTACGATAACAATAATAGCTAGCATTTATAAAGAGCTTTGGGGCAGCTAGGGGACTCATGCAGTAGCTAGAGTTCCTGGAGTCAGGAAGATGAGTTCAAATGTGGCCTCAGCCACTTACTTGTTATGTGACCCTGGGCAAGTCCCTTAACTCTGCTCACCTCAGTTTCCTCATCTGTAAAATGAGCTGGAAAAGGAAATGGCAAACTATTCCAGGATCTTTGCCAAGAAAACCCCAAATGGGGTCAAGAAGAGTCAGACACAACTGAAAAACAACTGAACAACAACACCTACAGGGCAGTAACAAAACTGTCTAGCTCTTACTTCCTGGGGAGTGTCATGGACAGTGGGCTAGTTTCAAGCGAACCTACCTCTGTTACTTACTAACCTTGTGACCTAGGGCAGGTCAAGTGGACTCAGTTTCCTCATTTCTCAAAGGAGGACAATAAGACCTATAATGCCTATCTCTTAGTTCTTGCAAAGATCAAATGAGATGATGTATTTGTGAAGCTGAGAAACCTCTGTATAAAAATCTCAGAGTGAACTGAGGGTCTGACATAGTGTCAACTGTAGGGTAGAAGAAATGGCACTGGGTTTGGAGTCGGCAGACCTGGGTTTGAATGCCTAGTGACTCACTAGGTGTGTGAGGTTGGGTAAATCACTCAACTATTCTATGTCTAAGTATCCTTGGCTGCAAGATGGGGACAATGCTATCTGATACCTTTATTATCAAATGAGACAATATTTGAAAAGCAATGCTTTAGCACAATGTTTGGCAAACAGTAGGCACTTAATAAATGCTTGTTGCCTTCCCCTCCCTGACCCTCTACCTCACAGAGATGTTACAAAGATGAAATGAGATAATGAAAACAATGTGATTTGTAAATATTGAAGTTTGAAATAAATGTCATTGATCCTTAGGATTATTATTATTATTATATAAACAGTTAGAACAGGGATCAAGTCAATCTCATGGATATCACGTTATATGGAAATATGGAGAAAGATTCCCAATGAGGCACCATGGCTACATCATCTCATGAGGGTTTCCATGGGAAATTTGGAAAGCTACCATTTTAACTCATGTATAAGTACCTCTCCCCACCCCAGTATTATTTCTGAAGCCTGGAAATCACAATCTGGCAAAATGTTCACACCTGGATGTTCTGGCAAAGACTGGTTGTGGTTATTCAGCAATAGCCACTCTTAGAAGAAGCAGACTGGTAATGCCCATGGGAGAAATGGCCACTGACATTTGAGGGCAAGCTGAGCTGAGCAGGGGTCAGGAGCCAATGAGGCCAAAGGTGGCCTATTGTTGAGGGGAGCCAAGGGACACAAGGAGGGCATTTAGAAAGGGAGCTGAGGAGATGTTGCTGGCTAACCCTGTTCTCAGGAGCACCCCCCCCCAAAATACAACCATCCTTTGTAACCTGCTCTGGTGGGCTCTATGCCAATGAGCTGAGCCCCAGCTGCTCTGCAGTGCTGCTAATTATTTAAGATAAATGGCTCCTCCTTTTAAAGCCTCTTCAGACTTCTCCTTCTTCTCTTCTTCTCTTTCCTTCCTTTCTTCCTTCTTTCTTCCTCTTCTGTCTCTCTCTCTCCCTCTCTAAATTAGTCTATTTTTACAATGATCTTTATTTTAACTGTTTATGCAATCTCTGGGTTGCCTAGGTGGGGGGGGGGATGGAGTTTATTTATAAAATCCATTTTGTAGCAGCTGAGCGCTTCCGCCCACACTGCAGGGTTACCTCTAGCCATGCAGGAGAGGCTGTAACTGGCACACAGAATTAGGAATTTGTCGGGGTTTGGAGGAAAGCCGGATGGTGTGCAATGGAGCTCAGCGCCAGAATGAGGAGATAATTAATAATTAATTAGATAACATTTATCTAGTACTTAAAGGTTTGTGAAGTGCTTCACATATATTATCTCATTAGATGAGATGTGCATTCTTATCCTGGCTGGCTCTGCAATTAACCAACTGTGTGGTCTCAAGTATGCCACATGCCTTCTGGTCTCAGTTTCCACATTTGTAAAAGGAGGGGTTTGGAGGCCCCTCAAAAGACTCTTACAGGTTTAGTTCAGCTCTTCCCATCCCCATCCCACCACCTCATTCAAGAACTCTCTCTATGGCAGGTACAGGTTCTTAACCCTGGGGGCCAAGGTGTCCTTAAGTAGATTTAAGGGGGACAGCTCTCCACAAAGATTACACTTTTCTACTGGACCCAAATAGAAATCCTAAAGAGGGAACCCACCTTGGATGATGACTGTCCCTTCAGCCAGTAGGCACAGTGGATAGAGCACTGGAATTGGAATTAGGAAGTCCTGAATTCAAATCTTGACTCAGACTAGCTATATGATCCTCCCTCAGAATCAGTTTCCCTCTCTGGGAAAATAGGGATATTAATAGCTCCTACTTTCTGGGTTTGTTGTGACGATCAATGAGATGGCATCTATTAAGTGCTTTGCAAACCATAAAGTGTCATATAAATGCTCGCTGTTATTACAATCAGATGTTAGGCTATACTATATCTCTTCCACAAAGCCCTCTTTGACTAACTCCACCTGGCTCCAGTCTGGCCAACCCTTTAGTGCTTCAATACCATCCCTCGCGGTCCACAGCATATTTACTTCACTCTTATGAGAAAAAGTGCCTGCTTCTCTTCTTTTGAAGAGGTGGGAGACTATGGGTGTGGAACGCTGAATACAATGTCAAACTTTGTTGCGTTGGCTAGTTTTTCTTTTTTTTTTTTTCTTTTTTTTTTCTTGGTGAGGCAATGGGGTGAAGTGACTTGCCCAGGGTCACACAGCTAGTAAGTGTCAAGCGTCTGAGGCTGGATTTGAACTCAGGTCCTCCTGGCTCCAGGGCCAGGACTCTATCCACTGCACCACCTAGCTGCCCCTAGTTTTGCTAAACTGTTTCCTTCCTCCCCAATTCCCATTCATCTTTTATTTGGTCTCTGTTATAAGGGTTAGTTTGCCCATGGGGTAGGGAAGGGATTTTTTTAGAAATGAAAGTGATATAGAAAGGGACTGCTCTTCAGTTGTTCAGTCATGCCCATGGTTTTCTTGGCAAAGACACCGGAATGGTTTGCCATTTCCTTCTCCAGTAGATTAAGGCAAACAAGAGGTTAAGTGACTTGCCCAGGGTCACACAACGAGTAAGTGTCTGAAGCTGGATTTGAATGCAGGTCTTCCTAACTGCAGACCCAGTGCTCTATCCACTGAGCCACCTAGCTGCTTGGAAGAAGAAAAAGAAGATATCAATAAATATAAAGTATTTACTTAATTCACTATTGCTTACACATGTTATGTCCTTGCAGTTATTTTCATATTTTTCCATGTGACTGCAATGTCTTGCTCATTACAGTATAAATCACTCAAGGGCTGGGTCCCATGCTGTCTATTCCTTTTATAATGCAATGTCAAAAAATGTTAGGCTAGGAAGAGACCTTCCAAAGACTAGTGCAACCTCCTCATTTTAGAGATGAGGAAACCAAGGCCCAGGAAGGTAAAGACTCGACTGAGGTCATACATAAGTCCAGGGTAAAGTCAGGTTTATAATCCAGCACCCAGGTTGAGTTTCTTTCCACTTTACTAGGCCTTTTCTGTACTTTTATTCTTGTTCTGAGCTTTGCCTCCCTCCCCCTACCTCAGAGTACACAGTGATGGGAGCTGCATTAATGCCAACAGAGGGGAACTCTTTTAATTTCAGGCAGGCCGCTAAGTGGTACGGTGGACAGGCAACAGACCTGAGTCAGGAAGACCTGAGTTCAAATCTAACCTTAGATACTTGGCTATATGACCCTGGGCAATTCTCTTCACCTCTGTAAGCCTCAGTTTCCTTATCTGAAAAATGAGGATAATAATAGCACCTACTCAGGGTTGAGAGGATCAAATAATATTTGTGAAGTGCTGTGTAAACATAAGGTGCTAGATAAATGCTAGCTATTATTATTATTAATCTCTTTGGTTAGCTTCCATATTATTGCCTTTAAAGATCTTGCCCCATCATCTTTTTTTCTGATGAACTTTACTTCTTAGGTAGTGTCAATTCCTGAGAGAAGTAATGTAGATAGAAGGTGTGCCCCATGATTACCCTGTGTCACAAATACTGCCCTCCCCATGACTGCTCTTCTTTCCATCATCCAAGTCATCTTATCTCTGAGTCCATTTCCCTCCTGCCTGGCCCAGGAGGGCCAGCTGCCCCTAAGAGTTCACCTCTGCCATCTCCTGGGCTACGTTGTTCATGTCGGTTCAAGCCAGAGAGGAACTCTTTGGAATGAGGCAATTAGTCTAACCGTTGATGGTTGGGAAACCCAAAGGAGAAGTTATGACAGGACCTGCTTCCCCTTCCTTCGATGAATGTTAAGCCACAAGAGTGACATGGGTTTTTTTCCCCAAGTGAAAATCAAGTCACCCAGATTCAGGGAGCAGCCTTCATCCATGTCTGCGTCTGCTAGGCTGAAACAGGATCCCACCAGATTGCTGGTTTCCTTACTGCCCTTACCTTGCCGTCTTCATGATACACAAAGATATTTCTGGTGCTGTTATCCTTCAGGTACGTGATCTGGAGGCCATGAGGATTCCCAATTTTGGCTGGCTGGAACGTAGCATTTAAATGTTCAATCTTCATAATTGCTTTGGGCTCCTTTGCCTAGAAAACAAAATCAGATCTAGTTGGCAGCCAGGAAAACACCTCAGAGGATTATCCTGAGGGATACAGTGCTTTCTGCAAAGGGTTCCTTGGTCCGTGTGATGCTCACCACCAATGGCTGCCTTCTCTGCTGCTTCAATGTACTCATTCCACCCCCTACCCAACCCTAGCAGTGTTGTCTCCAACTGAATTGTCATCTTCATGCAGAAGCCTCCTTCAAGCCCAAGAACAAAGGTGAGTTGTCAGATCACTGAGGGCAAAGTCCCTTCGTCCATAAGAGAGTTTGATGAGACTCTGTCTCGTGATCTGCCTTGACAGGTCTCCAGATGCCACATGCTGAGGGACTCTTAGGAAAGGATGACTTGGGGGGTTGGGGCTGGGAAGATCCTTTTGCTTAAATAGGTCAGAGAAGGGTCCCCTGTACAGGATGGCGCTGAGGACTCATTGGGGATACCATTCCCTGCTCCGCCCCCCTCACCTCTAGCTCCTGCCTCAGCCAGAGACTCTGAAAAGCAGCAGATGGAAAATCCCCAATAAACTTCCCATTAGGTATCTGAAGTCCCCCAGTCTGTAAAGAAGGAGCCCCAGGTCACCTAGGGCAAAAAAAGAAACCCTCCTTTGTGGATGAATCCTTTGGCCTTAGAGAAGGATAAGAGCAATGGTCAGACAATAGAATACACCTGCTATGTGCCCCGCACTGAGCCAAAGGGCTCTCACGCCTCCCTGCCCAGTGCCTGGTACTGCTCAGTCCAGAGTCTGTTCTCCTGCCCAGTGCTGCATTATGCTGCCAAGTCTCTAGGCTCGATATATCCCTAGGCGGCAGCCTGTCGAGATGTGGTGTGTCTGGCTGTCACTGGAATCCTTGTAGCCGGTTCAACTCGGTTCATGGGGTGGCATGTCTACCCAGGGGCATGTCACTTAGCTCCTGTCAGTCCATGGGTTGGCGAAGCATATTTTCCACTTGGGTGTTGTTTTTTTTTTTCCCCCTGCCTGTTTCCAGAATAATCCATCAGGCTGGCCATGGGGTTAAACTGATTTGCTTGTACTGATGGCTGAAAATGCCAGACAGGCTCTCAATCTGGTGGCTTTTTGTTGTATAAACACAACCTTAGTGTGGGTAGAAGTTACAAGCCACCTGGTTCCTTCCTTCTCTCACACCTGACTTCTAGTGGGCTCTACCTACCCCTGCAGACCCACTACCCTTCTTGGCTTCCATTCATCTTCTCAACCTCCTGAGGGTGAAAGCTCTCTATTTCCTGCACAGTCAAGGTTGACGACTTTACAGCGAGTGGTAAATGTAGAATTTATGCAAATACAAATATGATTTATTTTTCTCTATCAGGATTTGGTATAGAATATGTAGAAAAAGCTCACATTTACCATTCTCTTGGCAAGAGGTATGGAATGGGGGCAGCTAGGTGGCATATTGGATAGAGCACCAGCCCTGGTGATTCAGGAGGACCTGAGTTCAAATCCGACCTCAGAAACATAACATTTACTAGCTGTGTGACCCTGGGCAAGTCACTTAACCCCAATGCCTAGCCAAAAAGCAAAAAAAAAAAGAGGTATGGGACTATGGATACAGAATGAGGCGTTCACTGCCAAACATGGGCAATGTGTTGGTCCTTTATTTAATATTTTTCTGTGTCAAGTTATAGGGAAGTAGAGGGGAAAAAAACCTTCAGTATAAACGTTTAAGAGAATATAAGGAACATGAGGGGGGACATTAAGAAAATAAGGAAACCCATAAGTGGAAGAGATAAGAATTTTCTGAGCTACATGGTCACTAAAGTTCCTGCCCACTCTCAGATTTTGTAAATATGAAGTTATTTGAGATGCAAAAGGTGAATTTGAGGGCAAGAAAAGAATATGTAAAGAAATAGCAAATATATTTTTAATAAAGAAAGCCTTTAGGTTATGTTTATATCTGGTTGAATATAACTACATTTTAGGCTTCAGTAAAAGTAAAACGATGCTGCACGAAAAAGAAAAAAACCTCTCATGTTCCTGCATGACTGTAGGGCTGACAAAAGCACCGCTGCCCGCGATAAAATCCCGTGATGTACACAGGTCGTGTGAATCTTACTACCCTCCTTTTAAAGATGACAGGACCAAGACTCAGAGCAGTCTGGCGGGTAGCCCATGGTCAGACCCCCAGCAAGCAGAGGGGCCAAGACTGATTCCAAGCCCAGCCAAGGAGAAAGCAAACAGCCCCGTCTCCCAAGGCATGATGCAAACCTGCCATAATACACAGACCTACTGCTGCTCTCCTTCTTCTGCTGTTCTCAGCATCTGCTCTTTCCCCAGATTTCTGCAGTTCATTAATGTGACAGCTGCTGAGGTGGGGGAGGGCTGGAGCTCAAAGATGAATGCGCCCAAGACAAAAGCTGATCTTAATTTGGGGAAAGATTAAAAAAAAAAAAACTTTAAAAGGACCATTCAGTAGGAGGCAACCAGGTTTAGCAGTGGCTAGACTTGTGGACCTGAGTCAGGAAGACTCGAGTTCAAATACAGCCTCAGTTAACTTACTAGCTGTGCAACTCTTTCAAATCACTGAACTGCTATCTGCCTCAGTTTCCTCCTCTGTAAAATGGACATAATAATAGCACCTACCTGCCAGGTTGCTGTGAAGAACAAATGAGATGATATTTGTAAAGCACTTCACAAACATCATGAAAACAAAACAAACAAGACCACTCAGTGGTTAGTGCCTCTCCTCCAAAATGACCTGATACTTATTTTGTATGCAGTTACAGTATATGTGTTGTCTCCCCTGACAGAATGTAGGCTCCCTGAGGTCAGAGATGGATTAATTTTTATTTTCACACCTCCAGCAAACAGCAGGTGCTCAATAAATGCTTGTTGCTTGAGTTACAGTGTTCCCTGAAACTAATGACTACCCCCAGGCCCTTTGTAGACTATTGTTGTGTCTGACTCTTTATGACCCAGTGGACCATACTGTCCATGGGGTTTTCTTGGCAAAGATACTGGAGTAGTTTGCCATTTCTTTCTTCAACAGATTAAGGCAAACAGAGGTTAAATGATTTACGCAAGGTCACACAGCTAGTATCTGAGGCCAGATTTGAACTCAGGTCTTCCTGACTCTAGGGGCAATCTAGGTAGTTCAGTGGATACAGCGCTGGGCCTGGAGTCAGGAAAACTCATCTTCCACAGTTCAAATCCAATCTCAGACACTTACTACCTGTGTGAGCCTGGGCAAGTCACTTAACCCTGTTTGCCTCAGTTTCCTCAACTGTAAAATGAGCTGGAGAAGGAAATGGCAAACCACTCTAAGCATCTAAATAGGGTCACAAAGAATCAGACACAACTGAGAAATGAATGAACAACTTCCTGCCTCCAGGCCCAGCCATCTGTTCACTGAGCCACCTAGCTCCTTCTTTATAGACTAGGTGACTTCAAATACCTCATGGGAAGTTCACTGGGGATTTTCCATCTGCTGTTCTTCAGAGTCTCTGGCTAAGGTAGGAGCTAGGGGCTAGGGGCGAGGGGGGGAGGGGAGCAGGGAATGATATCCCCAATAAGTCCTCAGCTGCCTAGAGGGGCCATCCTGTACAGGGCACCCTTCTCTGACCTATTTAAGCAAAAGGATCCTCTCAACCCCAATCCCCTCAAGTCATCCTTTCCTAAGAGTCCCTCGCCACGTGGCATCTGGAGACCTGCCGAGGCAGATCATGAGACAGAGTCTCATCAAATGCTTGGTTTGGCAGATTCCTCTGAGCCCTTCTCGTTAGGAGCATTCTGTGTTCCAGCAGAGAACACTTGTGGATTTAGATGGCCGCTGAGGCCCCTTCCAACTTGAAAGTTCTATGATTCTCCTCCTCTAGATGAGTGGTGGGTGGTGCAGGTTGAGCAATATAGATTGCCCCCCACTCTCCTTTTTTGCCCCCAATCTTATCTAAACAAACTGAGAGTTGCCAGGGTGGAGTGCACTGGACTTGGAGTCAGGAAGAACTGAGTTCAAATCTCACCTTTTGTACTAACTAGCTGTGATTTTACTTCTCCACGCCTCAGTTTCCTTGTCTGTAAAATAAAAGAGTTGACCATAAAAGCTAACCTTTGATGGTCTTTCAGCTCTCAAGCCATGATCTTAGAAAACTAGCAAATATTTATACAGTGCTTTATAAATATTACCTCATTTAATTCTCAAAACAACCGTAGGTACTATTATTACTCCCAGTTTATAGTTGGGATAACTGGGGCAGACAGAGGTTAAATGATTCACCCAGGGTCACATGGCTAGTGCTTGAGGCAGGATTTGAACTCAGGTCTTCCTGACTCCAGGGCCACTGCTCTATTCACTTAGACAGATTCTGTGACCTTCTGACCAGAGAAGATAGGGCAGAACTCACCCCTCCCCCTATAAGGGAGAGTCCTAAAAAGAAAGGTATTCAGGTTACCAAAGGGTATGAATAATGAGTAATAGTTATAACTAGAAAAGAGACAACTTTAGTCTTCAGGCTAAGAAAAAGTTTTCCTTAGCAATGAGAACTACCCCAGGGTGGGATGGACTGCCTCCAGAGGGGGTGAGCTCTCCTTCATGGGAGGTATTCAAGCACTGGCTGGAGGGCAGCTTGTCAGAGGTGCTGGAGAATGGATTCAGCCTACTGGATGAAGTGCCTGGAGCACAGTGACAAATGTAAGTGGGCCTGGGGAGGGCATCTGTGAGTCTTCTAGCTCAACCCCCATGGTTTAATAGATGAGGCAAATGAAGCTGAGAGATTTAAAGGAGAGAAACAAAGTCAGGATTTGGGCCTACACCAATGCCAAAGCCAGAGCTTCTTCCACCACCCCAAACTGCCTCTTGTCCACAGTAACCATCATCAGATATCTCACATGTGCCCACAGGGGCCACTGAGAGGAGGGAGAATTCTCACTGTGAGCCAGCATGTGGCATACCTGAGTACACAACACTCACAGGCTGACGAGTTAGCATTGGAAGAGGGCTTAAAGGGTATCGTATCTAACACCTTCATTTTACAGATGAGGAAACTGAGATCCAGAGAAGTTATGTGACTTGCCCAGGTTAGCCTGCTGTTTGTTTTCCAAGTTTCCACCTTAAAGGTGCTTTTATTTATTTATTTATCTTCAAATTTTTTTATTTATTTATTTTGATTTTTAGGCAATTTGGGCTTAAGTGACTTGCCCAGGGTCACACAGCTAGTAAGTGTCAAGTGTTTGGTCGGAGGCCAGATTTGAACTCAGGTCCTTCTGAC